AACTGGGCTGGAGAGTATTTATACCCGGACGCTCTCCCTCGACTCCGTCGCGTCCGACGTCTGCCGCTTATGGTTAGCCGCACGGCACGCCTAACCGCAGCCAGAACGCGCTACTTGTCTACCGCCTTCTCGATTCTTCGTTGCTTTTCTGAGCCTGACTGCTGTTGTGCGGGATCTTCGACTGAAAACTGCCACCTTGAGATAACGCGGTTGCAGCCGAGCCGCATCAAGTGGCGCTACCTCCAGTCCTCGTTCCCGTGCCTTTGAAACGGGAAAATGCACGCATATGTGCAGCTGAGCAGACCCCTAACCTCGCAAATACGCAGGCTGACAAAGGTCATCCTTGGAGATGCGTTAGAATTTCTTTAGCCTCTTCAGAAGCTGGCGGATCAGCGAAATGTTACCGAACAAAGTTTTGTTCTTGAATGCATTAAGGGTACGAGAATTGTACCGCTCAAGAAGTATAGCAGTATGCCGGTTTTATTATAGCGGGAAAATGACGGAAAAGCAAAGCTGAACGACCGAAATTCTGCAAAAAACTTTGATCTGTACGGCAGTGGACGAGCTCTTCGAACGAGTTCCCCTTTGGCACAGTGCCAGCAACCGTCGCGGTATATGCGGCTGCATGATTGCGCTCATGTGTCCATGCAGCATCTCAGCCGCCTATGTCAATCCCTTCGCTTCATATTTTACTTGGAAAATGAAGGAATACGAGCATCAGCATCAGTTCATCCAAATTTGTGGGCTGGCCGAGTCGTAGCTGCTTGCTAAGCTTGAATAGAGTCTACAGGGGTAGTTTTCCTTGAGAAAGCGCCACGCGGGGCCGCCGAAATTCGTCCTGTAAACGTATCCCTACACGCCTCAGTGTACTCCTTGTGCCACTTGCCTTTTCTCAACGTGCGTACCCCTTCTTGCCACAAGTGGGCCGGACGCAAAAGACGCTCCACTTTCGCTGCTAGAATGTGCAGGATAAAAGCGCCACGGCTTAGCGACCATGACCTAGCTCCGCCTACGCGAGCGACAAAGACATCGAGGTTTTCGTCACTCTTGTCTACACACATCAATGATTAGGGCTGCTTTACACGTTATGAGCCATCCTATCCCACCGCGCCTCAGAACAAAAAACTATACGTTACCATTATGCATCTACTCTAAAGTAACCGCAATCATTGCGTAGCAATCCATGTGGGAGTGTAATTGAAGAAAAACACGTTGCCATGCTACGCTTTTTTGTGGCCATGCTTGAGCATTCGGCGTGAAGTGAAATGGAATGTATGACGTTTGACTGGTAGAAAAAGTTCTCGTCAGAGGAATGAGACATTGGCATTCTTTCGCCAAGAAACTTCAGAAAAAATGCATTTTTGGAAAACCCACTATTTGAGATGAATGCAGATCTAATTCTCGAATCTGTGTTTGTAAGAGAATAAACCTAGGAACCCGCAAGATTCTACGTAGGGCACATCATCGTTGGGCATTTTCCCAGGGGGGGGAGCTTCTTAGTCCGAGAAATTTTTTTCAGCAGTTGATTTTTTTGTTTCGCTGTCAGCTGACTTCCTAACTGACAAGTTCTCCCTGGCTAGGTGGTTGCTGAACTTTTTGCGTTTTCTTGTTTCAGACATTGCTACATACCCCCGCTCAGCATTAAACAGGCACATCGATTGTTGGGGATCCCAATAGGAGGTCGTGTTTGGCCAGCAAGAGAGGGTCGTATTATGGGCTGGAAGAATTTATTTTGATTAGTTGATTTTTTCACTTTGGGAAATCAGGAGAGGGCACATTTTGGGGAATCCCCAACAGGGGTCGTATTTGGCCGCCAGGAGAGGGGGGGGTCGTAGTGAGTGCGGCAGCCAGTAACGAGCAGCGCAAATTGTCAATGTGCTGAGTCCTGTACAACGAAACTTGCTTTGTAGAGAACTCGGATATGCAAAAAAATAGTACAAAACTTTCATTCATCAAACTAATCCGAAATAACTGCAAATATTAATAAGTCGACATTATCTCGTAAGTCCGTTGGTGACTAAACAGTAACTCAAACTCTGGTTCGCTGCCAATGATATGGCGTGTCCGCGGTCGCGCTTGGCGCTGAGCCAACCTGTTTTTTTTTCTCGACAAGCGACAGAACTACCATATCGTTCATATCAGACGTTTTCCAGCAGTTGGTCTCCTTTATCGAGTCAGCGATGGCAGAGCACGAATCTGGCAGCGTTGACAGGGACATGTTCCATCATACGCAACGGAAAACACTGTAAACAAGTGCACAGGCTCGCCATGGACCTCCCTGACCTTATAACACATTTTGCTCGCCGGGGAACTAGGAATTACGCACAATGTCTGCACATCCCATCACCTCTGCGCGGCCCTCAGTGCGCGGCGCATCCAAAGTTGGCGTGATCGGCGCTAAACGAACCATATCCTGCTCCTGCTCCACCACAGGATACGTTCTACATGCGTTCCTGGCTATTCGAACACGCTCACTTGAAACGGTACACAGGAAACGGGTTTTTCGCGCAGCTGGGAGTGTTCCTCAAGAAATCCCCATAGCGAGATCTCATGAATCCCGAGAGCTTCAGAAACAGTTCAAGAGGTTTTTAGAAAGAAAATCTTCAAACACTCGAAACCATTCTCAGATTTGTGAAATGTTGAGTTACAAAAAAAATATATTGATTCAAACCTGTTCGGTTGAAACCACTCCCCAACGAATCCTATGCAGATTTCTCTGCATTGCGACGGTCATAAAATTCAGTACTTTAGGGAAGATGGCAAATCCACTCTACACGAGTACGGTCTCCTCTTCCCCACAGGTCCGCTTTTGAGGAAGTTATGGTCCTTCAAAGACACCTAACTCAGCTGGAAATTCTCGCTCCATGGCTAAAATTGCCGAATAATCTCCTGTCACAGCCATATTACAGCGCTTTCTGCTACCGTATCCACATAATCGCTATATTTTTACGGCGTTTGTAACTTTACCGTATGAGACAAGCCTAACTTTCTCTTTCTCGTTCCTCAATCTCGAATAGACTGTTAAACATGTGGTCGCCTGATCGGCCCCCCTCCCAGAGAGGCAGTCACCTCAGGCTAACGAATTGCTCATTCATTTAATCGCGATACCGTTATATTACCATGTGTGTTTCATAAACGCCATCGAAAAGTCATCATACGGGTTTCTCTTATATACGATTGTACCGTTTTTTGTTTGCAATCATCTCTGTATTGTTCTATTATGTCATGACTTCAAGTCGTCCATTTAGTATGGGCACCTTCATACAAGTAGAATTTCATAGTGGGCGTTTCATAGTTTCATTAAGGCCTGAAAAAAGAGCCAACGGCAAAAGGGGGGGGGGTTTCGTACGAACCCCAAAAAAGGCGGGGGGTCGTACAGCTCGACCAAAATCCCCATCGAATGCTGTGCCCTGATCAGGAGGTCGTATTTACGTCTTGTCGTTGTAGAAGCGCCCCCCCCCACTCCTGCTCGACCGCTCGATTCGATGAGGAGGAACAGAGGACCGCAGGGGGAGGTAATTACCATACTTCCATAAAAAAGGGGTCGTAGCAGTACCTGTCGCCTAAAATCTCCCAAACCAATGAGTGCCCATGCATCAGAACTTTGAAGAACAAGTAAGGCCGAGACGTTTCTCGAGGAACAAAGCAGGACATCGATTAGGATCTCATATGTAGGGCGAGTCGTGTTTGGGCGCATGGTGGTATCTGGTCGTTGCTCATTGCTGGAGAGTCCGTATTTTCCTCACGATTTCCCCCTTTTCATACCCGCTACAGACTCCCCCGCTCGACGGGGCTGATTTCCACCATATTCGTATGGCCTACTTAGCTCACTTACCAGGGCACATCATTGGTTGGGTGATTTTAGCGAGTCCCCCGCCCCCCCTCTCCCCCCTCTTTCCCTCCCTGCTATCGAGCTATCGAGTGGGAGGAGAAGGAGAGTAGGAGGGTATAAATCGCACAAAAGCAAAATAAATAGCATAAGTAGGCAAAGGCAAAACGGCAAAGCCGCGAGACGACCTTCTCCCCTTCTACCAATTCTCAGTCCCCAATTCCTGCACTTTTCCAAAATTTCCCAGAAATTCCTACTTTTACCCAAGAAATTTTGCTGTCGACGGTTGATATAGTTTATAGTGCACAGAAACAAAAAATCACTCGAAAAGTCAACCACCTCTCCTAGAAAGGCCAGAAATTAAATACGACCCCCCCCCTTCCAACAATGACAAGTACGACCCCCTTTACAACGTCCGTGAAGCGAAAAAATCAACTATCAAAGTAAATTTTTCCCAGCCCAAATACGACCCCCCTGGCAGAAAATACCCCCTGTTGGGGATTCCCCAACAAGATGTGCCCTGGTGGAAACCCTGAAAACCCGCAAAACTGCTTTGTGAGGGACATAACCCACTATGGTTTTGTCTCCAATTTTTCATGATATTACTTCCGACTATTTTTCGAGTATTTTTCCATCAGGTTATTGCGTAAAAGTTCTGCGAAGCACAAAAGTTTTGAAAAACGAGCCAGGCACTGCGATTGGCATCGTGCCAGTTTTTGAATTGCACCGTACTCTCTTGATTATCACGACCCGTTGCCACGCCCACTCGCCTTTGAATTTTCGTATGAATTTGCTTGTTTACAATTTTTTGTTTTTCCCTACTTATTATTTTCAAGTTTTTTCGAGGAGATGGGGACTTAGGTTGTTCCGTGGATAGCTTTCAGACTATTTTTCAAGGAACTGCTTCCTTCAAGGCTATTAAGTGGTAGGCCCTTTCTGTTTGGTGCTGGCTTCTCATTTTTGATTAGTGCCTGGTTTTCTGGAAACTCTGCGTTTCATTTCATACTAAGTTCAAAGGGAGGGGGGTCGAAAATCAGTTTCAACTTCATGCGTATTGCCCTCGTTTTTCCACCCGTTATTTTGTCTTTTTTTCTAATTTGTTTCTGGATCTGACTGGAAAATACATTTGTTTACTTTTTGAGCCTTATATATTAGTTTCTCCGGTTGTAGGATGCCGCGTAAGGACAGCGAGAGCAGCTCATCGAGTCCTGAATCTCGTGAACGTGAAGATGAGACTCTGTCCAATGACGTCGTCGTCAACAAGTATCAGATGGCCGCTCAAATGGTCAACGAAATCCTCAAGGTTTGTTCTGTGGTCCGTTCTTTTTTTCTGTGCTATGGTAGGCTAGAGATGGAGGCAGTTGGCAGCTGATCAAGCCGCGCAAGGGAGGGCGTGGAAGGGTGGCCTTTTTCAAAAGCAATTCAAACCGTAAAGCTAGGTATGAAACAAATTTCATTTTGTTTAGCAACTTATGCGGTGAAGTGTGTTGCAATCAAAACATTCCCGGTTGGAGTGCATTCATACATTGCGTCAGCGTGTCGAGCGTGCGACAGCGTTTTGAGCGACTAGCATAGTCAGGTGGCTAGCTAGCGTTTTGAGCGTACGCCAGCGTGTTGACCGTTTCTCGGGTAGTTCTCAGGTTTTCGCGAGAGTAGCTAAGAATGCTGGTGCGTGCTCAAAACACTTTAACTCGACACCGTGTTTCCTATCGCTCAAAACGCTGCCTGCCATGGGCTTACTTAAAACGCTGATGCAAAGTAGAACAAATGCCCGAAATGGAGCAGGGAAGATATTCCCCCAATTTAATCTAATCCATGTAGCAAACACAAGTTTTGGATCATTACATTGCACTTCACACTCCAAAAACGGTATGCGTGACCTGATCATTTTCTGAAAATACGACCTCCTTCATTCCATCCTCAAATACGATCCCCCTCCCCATGCTACATACCACTCTTCTAGATTTTATTAACTTCCACCCTTTGTTCTCGAAAAAAATTTTCAGTTTTTCAGCAAAATTTCCTCGATTCCATCGATGGTGAGGATGTAATACCACAATATGAAACAAGAAAATCTCTCAAATCTTGCTCATCAACTTACTACCAGTTTTCTGATATTGCCCTGAAAATTATTTTATCAAATTCTGCGTCGCGTTCGGGGGGGAGAACGTGTGAGATTAATAGCATTTCAACTGTCGCGGAAAGTATACAGTTGCATAATCTTGCCCACTCCTTTCAGCTCAAATACGACAGCCCCCCTCCCCATTGCTAGCTTACCTGAAAACAGGAGAATCAACTATCAAAAATTTTTCTCTGACCAAATGCAACCCCTCCCTCGCGGTCAGAGAAAAAACCCTCCGTTGTGATCATCGCAACGATGGCGTCCCCTGGGCGTGGCCCCGTACATCATTCGAATATGCAGCGGCTGCAATTTCGTGATTCTTGCCTTTTGGATAAACGTAATTCTTTCTTCGGAACGAATTAGGAGACACTTCTCATATGAAACAGAACTCCACAAACTCTGCCCGATGTTTACATGGAGTGCTCACTAAATCCGCCTCATCTCTTCAAATATTACAGTATTATGGCAGAGCTGGATCGATGGCGTACGCATCCTTACCCACCTAGGGCAAGTCTCGCTAGCTTCCGTGTCTCTCCCTTAAGGATGTCGCTGTCACTGCCATTAACACCCTTGGTTGTTTTTTATGAAGCGATACTTCGGCGCTTTTGCTTTTGCGCTTGGAGGGAGGGAGGGGATAATTTGTCATTTTTGCTAGTTTCTTCAATCTTCGATACACCTCACCCTGACAAGACCTGTAGACTATGTCAAGTGGACTGAACTGATGCTACTGCATAACTTTACATTGGTTTACGAGGTTCCATAGAATTCATCGGTACTGACCGATGAAAACTAATATGCCCCCACTAAGCCGAACTGCGGCGATAACTAATTTACTAGTGTTAGATCTAATGTCAGATATAACTATAATTTTAATGCTTTGTAATTGACCGTGTAACGCCGAGAATTTCATGTAACTCGCTGAAATTTTCAGAAGCTGATCTCAGAAGTAAAAGAAGGAGTAGAAGTTGGCAGTCTGTGTACACTAGGAGATAATCTTATTCTTGAGAAAACCTCAAAAGTTTTCGTTAAAGAGAAAGATGTAACGAAGGTATGTAAACATATTTCACTTGAGATTTCACATTTCTTCATAAAACTTCAGTTATTTTAGGGTATCGCCATGCCTACTTGTATTTCCGTCGATCATTGTATTTGTCACTTTTCACCTCTTCGCTCGGACCCTCCAATTTTGTTGAAGAACGGGCAAATGGTTAAGGTAAAATTTGAGGTTTTCAGTTGGTTTGGGGCATAATCCCAAGTGCAGATATGAGCAAAGTTTGAAACTGCATTCGAGAATAATGCCCGAAACATTCAGTTCAGTCATTTTAGTGCAGTAGTTCGTGCGGGTTGCGAAAACCCCGTTTCTGGACAAGGAGCATTTCAAAATTACTATGTTTAACAGGCTTTGTTTCTATGATATTTCCACGATTACCGCATTTGGAGCAGGAATTTGCCCACAATTGAGTTTTTTCGCTCGAGTTTAGAGTAAAGAGCTCTTCTTGTAGGATGCCAAGAGGGGTATGTGTCAAGACAATCGTAATATGACGCGATTGATGTGAGCACACGCATAGGACGAGTTGTAAAAGTTGATTTGAAAAAACCAACTAGCAAAAAATTTTTCTCAGCCAAATACGACCTCCCCCTATTGGGGGCTCCACAACAACGATGTGCCTCGTTCTATCATTCGGAAGGTAGTTTAGCCCCCGCTTGAATTCCCTTGAGTTCGGCTGCTCCAATCAATAAAATAACGCAGACGGAGAATTTGCTGCGCACCGCCGCATGATGCGCCACGCGCGACGGCGTCCCAAATCACGATTGTCTTATCCGTCTTCCAGCAGGAGGCGGTCACAGCAGAAATTTTGCACAACGTGGTGATGTGCCCAGACCGTCATACTAAATGTTCTAACACGTAACGGACTGTTAGACAGCGTTCAGACTTCGCGACGGCAGCGCTTCGGTCGCGCGTTCGACGCGATCGATGCAGTCAAAAGCATGCGCATCGATCGCGTCGAACGCGCGACCATCGTCGCGAGGTTCGAACGCTACCTTTTCGTTCCAGGATAACGTCGAGGTTTAGGCGATCGAATCCGCATGTTAGCGTCTATTTTTCCTGTATTTATGTAAAAAGCAGCTCACTTATCATTCCTAACGTGTTTTTATTGTCAGATTGATCTGGGTGTCCATATTGATGGTTACATTGCCACTGCAGCAAATACTGTCGTTGTAGGAGCCAGTCCTGTGAGTGTTTCTATTTTTGTTACTGTGTTTAATACTTTCTTTCGTCCAATTATCCTATATTTTTGGGGTATAAGGCGCGCCTTGCCCCGAGAGTTTCTTTCTCGCTTAGCCTGGGCAGAAGCCCATGTGGGAGTTGACTTTTGGACCGCGCACCTGGTAAGATTTGCCACTTGCCGCTACACCACACCGCTAAAAGGCGCCTCATACGCCAGAAAAAAGGCAAGCACAACTCGTTGAAATTTGCTGCTTTTCAGACGAACAAAGTTACGGGTAAACATGCTGATTTGCTGAAAGCTACCTATGAAGCTATGGAAGTGGCTATACGTATGCTTCAACCCGGCAACAAAAACATGGACATCACCGCTGCTATTGATAAGGTAAACATCGAGTGAATTTGATTTTTACTTCGTTCTGATTGATTTTTCTTTTGAAAATGCGGCTCGCAGGCTAATTCTGTCCCGAACTTAGGTTTCGCTGAGCTCGTAGGTTTACAGGAAACCTGTTTTTTCGACGAGATTTTAGTGTGGGTATAAGTTTTTTTTCAGGTCAGTTCGATCACCTGAACACAATTCGGGGGACGTTCTACGTTGAGAATTCCCAGGGGGGAGGGAAGGTGCGTATTTCGACGCTGTTGGGAGTGAGGGTCCCACTCACCTTTGAATTCTTCAAGAAAATGTTTTCAGTTGTTAACTTTTTCCTGTTTTGATTGCGCTGCGCTCAGTGTTCTATATTCCCTTCTTCCCGCCTCGCTCAACGGCAGTTTTTTTTTTGGAAAAAAGGGAACTTTTGAAAAAACTCTGGTATAGGAAATCTGGACATTATGGGAAGATCGCGGGTTAATGGGAATGAAGAAGGTTGTCGCAGAAAAAGAAGAAGAAATTTAGGGGGTGTCGGGCCTAGAGCCTGAATCAGACAATGAATTAAAGAATTTCCGTATTTGCATCCAAAAATACAAGCGTTTGGAAGCGAAGCGTTAGAAAATGCATAGGAAAATATAGGTTTCCCTCAATTTGTCACGGTCTTTTTTCCACTTCTGTGCTATTGCTGGGTTCAAAACTGTTAAAAGCGGCTTTCAAGGTTGCGGCCGATTATGGTATGATGCCTATTGAAAACATGGTGTCTCACCAACTGCAGAGGGATCAAATCGATGGTGAGAAGCAGATCATACAGAATCCTGGCGAGAAACAACGTATGGAAATGGAAAGGTTCACAATTGAAAAGCATGAGGCATATGCCATTGATATTTTGTTCTCAACTGGCAAAGGTTAGTGGTTCTTTAGTAGCTGCACTGAGGTTAAAAAGCAGGCGAGAGGCATTAATGAAGGCAAATCAAAGATTGGGGTGAGTTGTGAACGGTGTTTCTCCGGAAATTGCAGTGGTATAAATTTCTGCGTTACTGATCGATGGGGCTGTGATTATGGAAGAATTATATGGAGGAATTTTTTGTTTTAAGCAGTTTAACTCAGATAATACATCTGCGAAAGATCTCGTTGGGGAGGAGAGGTAGTGGGGGGTGGGTATGCGTAAATCAGGGCAAAATGGGTGACACAAGCAGCACAAAAGTGTCATCACGCTGTATAACGATAGTATCGGATAGGCTCGAAGGGCGGCATGTTGATAATGAAATAGTATGCCGGCTGAAATGTCTTCTAACGGAGGTTACGAAACTCGTTTTCCAATATCTGGCTGTCGACCTGCTCAGATAAGAAGTTTACGGAAGGCTTGGGGGAGAATTATTCGGGGATTCACTACGAATTGACGGTCGGTATGCTGCTACCACTGTGGCAGGCATGGCGCGTGAGTGTGATACGGTCGTAGGGCGCACGAATCGCGTGTCGAGCGTACTGGATCTTTGGATGGCTGTGGTGTTTGGGCATTTTTGGTAAGTGGTGCGCTGAGTCGCGCTTCAAAGCTATTTTGCTATAGCTCTTGTGCGCTGTATATTATCGTGACAATAATTTTTCCGGACATGATGAATGCCACTGCGTAACGATTCCATGGATGACATTTTGCCTGACTGTTGTACGTTGTACTTCTCTTTGATTTCCAAGTAGATTCACAACAAAAAGGTGCAGTTCAAGGCCGAATGGAATTTTGCACCCTGAAAATGAGTTTTATTCATCCCAATAAGCGATGACTGGAACGGCGAATGCTAAGGCCGCAGCGATGGTTGTGCGCGAAGATTGGCATCGAGTATAGCGGGGAAATATGCTTTGCGGTATGAACGCTGGCGTTGATGTGGCAATTCTGGGCTGGAGATGCGATGACAAAACATTCATTCATACACTCGCAATTAGTGTTGGAATATGCGCTTATCCAAATGTGTTTGCTACTGTCTCCATGGAGGGTTCGGCTCGTATGACAATGTCTTCCGCAGGAGTGTCTACCCTGAGAATGGCGTGTCGCAGTAGGTCGCATCAGTTTCGGAAAGCATATACGTGCAGCACATTACGCTTTAAGTAGGTACAAGAGTTATGGGGGCACGTTAGTCTTGTGAATGTGCACGGGACTAGTTTTTAGTGGCAAAGAGACACGCATGAAGGATCTGAAGCGCTTGCGTACTACGGCATTGCGGGCGAAGGGGGCTCCGCTGGATGTATCCACTCGGCCTATGCTGCTCGCACGACGCAATAAGGCTTTACGCGCCATTCATAATAGAATTGAACATTCTGTTCCGTAAAAAGTCTGTATACTTCTTTGCTAGGAGGTGTGGGGCTAAGGCGATTGTTGAAGCAGTTTCGTAATGCTCCTTCGCAGTATACTTTTCAGGCCGGTATCATTTGCATTTCAAAGATTGGCACTTCGACGACGTGGCATCCATTCCCGGTGTAGATTGATGAATGGCGGACTGAAGCTGGCGAGACGACTGGGTCTTAAGGGAAGACTGAAAACATATGCGAAGCACAGTTTGGTTAGCAGTATCTATTGTTAGCATAAACTCTTAAGTTATCGTAGATGAGATGACTAATGTAAGAACATCTCGAAACTAGATTATGACGTATCCAACTTTCGATACGCGTCTAACGGACATGTCTTGGCATGAATAAAATACGCTGAAATCAGAAGTTACATGCTTTCAGTGGGCTAGCATCATGCTGTAAGAAGCGTGAATGCATGGTGCTATCGCTGAGCGAAATTGGGGCGCGATATAGCAAATTGATGTTCGACTCAGTTGCAACGGGAATAATGTGGTTTTGAAGGCAGCGAAATTCTGTGGAATAGACTATCGCGGTCGCTACAACAGGCAAGAGGGCAGTTCGAGGCTTTTTTAGTGCTCAGAATATCCGCGCGAAGGGTGAGGGCGCATTAAAATGATTTCTGAAACTATAGCAGGTCTTCAGGATACTGTAGGGAGCTTTTGCTGGAAAAGAGGAAGTCGGCGGCGTCATGGACAGAGTTTTTCAGTTTTGCAAAAGATTGCGTTTGATAAGGAGTTTGTATTTTTTCTGAGTCATAAAACCGGCTCGGGCTGTATTTACGGTCATTGCTTATGATTCCGCCCACAGGCCCCGGCGGCGCTGCGCCCAACTTCCATTTTCGAAAGATCTCACGGTGCGGTTGTTCCCCTACCAGCTCTTCGTTTCTAGTGGTGAGAGTGAGAAGATAAAGATAAAGAGTTGGCACCGGTAGGTGAAAACTCGTCCGACCATGCCTTTTCTTCACCTTATGCACGCGGAAGCGCGGTCCGGCATGAAGTTCTACAAGGTGCATTTTGGAAAAGATCTTTTCTGCTTTTCCTTCACTTTTGTGTTATTTACTATCTGGTCAGGAGTATTTGAACCGCCCAGCTCGCTATTTAGAGCGTCAGACGTGCCTTTAACCTTTGAAAAGTTCCGGGTATTCCTTTTTGAGAGGTTCGTAACATGGATTAAAGCAAGGGTGGGGGTGTAACATAGCAGAAAATCGATGAAACATCCTACTGCTGAATTAAAAATATTCTGAATTTCGTTTCATTTCAGTTTGGTGTAATGCCTTTTACTCTGCGAGCATTTGAAGATGAAGTGAAAGCAAAAATGGGTGTAGTCGAACCAGAAAAGCACGGTCTCCTTCGCCCCTATCAGGTATTGTTTCACTTGACCGTTTTTCTGTTTTAAGTTTAGGGATGCAACAGCAAAGTTTGCGTCGGATCTTCTGCATTTTCATGGTTTTCTCGAAATGCTTGAATGGCTGAGTTTTCGTTCAGGTGTTTTACGAGAATAACGGAGAGGCTGTTGCCCAGTTCAAAGCGACTGTGCTGATAATGTCAAACGGACTTTTAAAAATCGCTGGTCTCCCACTAGATATGAACTTGATCGAGACTGATGCGAAGTTGAAGGTGAGCACATTCAATATGGTCACATATATTGTTACTCTATCAAATTTATTCTTCTACTATTATTTCTCCTTGATAAAACCATGTCTGCGCAGTCATGGCCGGGTATATCGCGTGCCGTGGGAGGAGAACTTTGCAATAAGTGTGCCTTCAACTCTGTGAAAGTGAAATTAAGGAACTAGTGAAGTAAGAAGGATAGGAAAAACCGCAAAGATGAATGTACGGGGGGGGGCAAAAAAGTCACTTCGGCCGAGTCATATATCAGCGAAGTTTTTGCAGACAGAGGAAGTGGATACGAGTACCCCGGCGAAACACCTTGACCGGAGAAGACCTTTAAATTCCACGTCACCTCCAAACAGCTGCGAAACTCCTTGAATGAAGTCACCCATGGAGCTACCTGGAGACCATTAATCTCGAGCGAAGACCTCCAACATCGAGCAGCTCCGACAACGTCGCTACGGCCCAGGATATCATCTTCATTCGCCAAGGACGTGTGACCCGGAAGTTCCTGGAATGTGATGACCGAAATTTTCTTCGTGGACCCCGGAGTGGAATATCCTGCCTTCATGTCATCATTGAGAGGCGTTGGAAAAACTTTTGCCTACTTAGAATGGCTAGAATGGTAGGGCGTTGAGTACCAGAAGAGACGGAATCCTCAATTGTGTCACCTGACCTAAACTCCCTCAATAACCTGGTTCGGGCGGAGTTCAACAGGGTGGTTTACAGTGGCGGAGAAATCAACGGTCTCGCTGAACTCAGGTACCCATTCACGATCGCGTTGCACGAATCTACTCGATGGCGCTCGTCCAGAAGGCTGTGGCGGAGCATCATGATAGTATACAATATGCTGTTGAATATGGTGGTGGAAATGTCCCATCAGAATTCAGTTAAAGGCAGTTGGCACGATAAATCCGACGAGTAGGATCAATACGCCTGGCAGGATAGAATTCCGCGACCCTGGGCAGGCGCTGCATAGCGGTTTCCCCGAGGAAGGTGCCCTTATAAGGGCCCTATCAAGCCACAACTTTACGTCCCAAACGCCCGCCCACAAATGGACGACCGTTCCTGACGCTCGTATTCATTCATTTGCTAAGCAAATTATGAAGCGAAGGGATTGGTATGAAGCGGCCGTGATGCTGCATGCATACATGGGTACACATATGCAGCCGTATCTTCGGTAGCGGTGATTGGTAAGGCCTACGGGAAACTCGTCCGAAATCGATTTACAAGTCACTGAGAACGGAGGCTTTTTCTTCGCAGGATTTTGACCGTTTCACTCCGTTCTTTCGCCATTTCCCCACTATACAGCGCCCTACTAGCATTTTAGGCTAAGTAGGAAACCATCGTGCCAACTGCCTTTAAATGTAACTTATAGCGCCCTGAAAGTCAAGGAAGAAAAGTGACTTTTTTTGGCCGCCCTTGTATACGTGCCGACCTGAAGTATTGAAGAATCAGTGGTCTGTGGAGTTCGAAGAATTACGAATGTGTGGAAAGTGTTAGATGCGTATCGACCTGGAGAATCGAGCGAATTGACAACTCGAAGATTGGATTTGGGAGTATCAGCAAATCGTGGTGTGCAAGGGGGGGGGGGGGAGTAATCTTAGGAACTGGGGATCGGATGTCTTGAAGGACAGTCCTAACGTCCAACAAAATCTAGCCGTAGTCCCTATTCAAGCATCTGGTCTCAGCCTCTAAAATTGTCCCTTTAGCGGCTTTAAAGGAGGTAACAAGGAGTGGCGCTTTTTTGTGGCAGTTTTGACGCCTCCCTGGTTGTCCCGCCCATCAATAAGCAAAACCTTTTTCCGATTTAAGTTTTTGCACCGCGTTTTTCGTTATTTTTCACTGCTGGAAGGTATTAGCACTGCATTAAACGGAGAACCGACCAGTGAGCCAGAAGCAGCAGGCTACAGTGAGGTTGCCAGGGGTTCTTACTCAGGGTAATAGTATGGCTATTCTGATGTCCCCGGGTGTGGCAATTCTATCGTAGGGTCGCAGTGATGGTCTTACAATTAGCCTGCGACGCCAGCCTTTGCGTACGTGATGTGTTTCCTACTGGCGCGTAAAATTATCATAAGCGTCCTTCCTATTGCTTCTCTACTGTCGAATTTTCTGTGCCTCATTTGGAGTTCCCCAGCATTCCCAGTTTTCATGCTAATTGTCAAATTATTGATTGCTATTTTTTTAATCATATTACAATTCTTGCTTTTATAGGATCCTGAGTTGATCGCCACGTTGAACTCGCAGTTGAAGAAGAAAAAGAAGAAGCCTGCGAAGAAGGAAGCTCCCGCCGCAGTTAATGCAAGTGCTCCAGTCGCTGAACCGGTGGCAGCGAAATAGGGTTATGTTTTTTAGTCAGTATGATAGCCTCTTAACTATGTCTCCTCCTTTTTTGATCGGAGTTGTATGTTGATGTATAATGATTGAATGGTGAATTGATTGATATTTTTTTCTCCGATTTACATCTTTTTAGGTGATCCTTATCGCATGCGGTGGTCCTCAATTTGCTGTCCCCCCATTTCCCTGTTTCTTTTTTTTTTGGTTTTCCAGTCGATCATCTTAGAATCTTTGATGTGAGACGTTGGTTCACTAACGACTTTGTGTTTGATTCACCCTATATACTAGTGCATTGTTTACTCCCCACGTACAAATGCCGTCACATTTTTGTTCAGTTAAAAATTAGTTGAAATTGGTTGTGGAGAAGAGTGGTGTTAGAGTTATCAATTGGGTACTCCGCCGGTCACGATCGTCACCACGCTGACCGCCTGCAACCTCATGGCTCTTGTGGCTTTCACACTTTCAACGTTCTGTTCATTTTGCACTGAAATGACTGACGGTATGTGTATGTGGGTGAAGCACTGACCGGGTATGCTCACGTGGGTTCAGTTCTGCTGTGAATCGAATGCGGTCCTCCTTTGCACATTCCGGTGGTATCTTGCCGTCAGTTCGATCATAGTCCATCGACCAGTGAGTCCTAAGCCAACCCATCCTCTTACTAGCCGTGTTCACTTCGGTGTCTTTTGGCCCCGGTCGTTGTTACACTGTACTCGTTTCTATTGGTTCTGTTTCGTTGAATAAAGTTCTAAAGATTTTATGATACGTTTTTGAAAATGTATGAAATACCACTGACAGGTTTGACATGGCTCGGCCAAAACTACACGGTAACGAAGCTCATCGAAGTGCCGCGAGAGTACAAGATGTTATATGTGTCACGTTCATAGACTCGCAGAGGGCCTCCGATTCTGTTGAGAAAGGAGCGGTTATCGAAGCCACGGGCAACCAGGATGTTTCTATTAGGTTGTCCCAAAATTCGTGACATTTTCGGACTTTTTCTTCGAGTTAAGATCCCAACCAGAGGCAATTTCGCTTGACAATATACATATTACCTTCATCGGCAACTTGTTGCCAACCACCAAGCAGAGAATGGTTGCCTTGCTTCCAGAAGCTTTTTAGTTCCATGTCGAGAAAGGCAGCCGGGTCATTTTTGAGGTGCTTTTGAAAATCGTATTTTTTTACCCGCCGCTGAGGAATTAGTTCAGATGGCAGTCCGAAAGAGTTAAGTCAGGGTCACACGAAGACTGTGGTGGAATTCCCCAGCTAAGCTTCGATCTCGAGCAGTGTCGTTTTCCAAATGTGTGACCCTGAGCTGTGGTGGAGTATTCAAACATG